AGTAATCCAGACGTGAGGTTACCAGAGCGTGTACCACAGTTTCCAGATTCCTAATATCCAGATAAGGGCACAGTTGGCGTATCAGCCAAAGCTGATAACAGGCACTCCTGAGCACCGCATTCACCTGACTAGTCATGTGAAGCGATGAATCTAGGAGCAACCCCAAACTGCTAACACAGTCCTTAGAGGAGAGTGTGACTCCATCCAGGCCTGGAGACTGTATTCCCAAATCTGGTTTCGGGCCCATGACTGTCAGTACCTCCGTTTTGTCTGGATTTAGTTTCAATCTGTTTTTCCTCATCCAATCCATTACCGCTCTTAGACAGTCATTGAGAGGAGAGATGCCTTCTGAAGTCTGAGCCAATGATCTGGTCATGGAGAAGTATATCTGGGTGTCGTCAGCGTACTGATGACACCGCGCTCCATGCCTCTGAATGATCTCATCCAGTGGCTTCATATAAATATTAAATAGTATCGGGGACAGAATGGAGCCCTGGGGGAATGCTGGTGGGATTTTGAGAAATGCAACAAAAATACAGCTAACATATCTTTACTGCTCCCATGGACTGAATTCCAAGGACTTTTCATTATTTTCATTAATGTTTAAAGAAGGTTAAAAGTTGCTAGGAATTTCAAAGTAGTACATATTGGGTCTCGAATTATTAATCTTTGGGTAGTCTTGTTGGAGGTCATTCAGGTTTGGATGCTATCAGAATCACCACATCCCAGATTCTTCCTAGGTTTGGGCAGCCAGTCCTGGGTCAAGGCAGACACTTAATCCTGGGTCATTCCTATTCTAACATAAACCAGGTGACACTGTAGTTGGTTACCAGACTATCCCTTTGTGTTGTGAGGATATATGATGCTCTGAATTACTTCCATGTATCTGTCTAACTGCCTGTCTTCCAGGGCTATTTTCCCACTTTTCAACAGAGCTACTGACAAAAATAAACACACTGCATATAACTGGCAACTGTGGTCTTTGCAAATAGATGCAGTCAGTTATTTCAGGTCCAACCAAACACTATTTGACATAGCTTTCATGGACACCTGCTCATTTTTCCTCTCCTTTTAATCTTGTCAGTGGTGACCCAACAGGTGGCTTGAGAATACTCCAAGGAATTGTTGAAGGGAATTTGAATCTTCCCCTTAACTGTAAGGACTAGCAGATGTGGAGGCAGAGGATGTTTCAGTTAAGCAGAACCATGCAAGCTTCCTAGTGTTGACTGAGGATTCTGGGTGTTTAAAGAGAAGAGTGGAAAATCTTTCCCCCCTTCAATTGCTACACAGTGGTTGCCAAATGTTTTGCCTAGTGAATTGTCTCACCAAACATTGCTGACACACAATTCCACCTGCCTCTGGGCTATGTGCTATGTTTCCTTCATCCCACAATTCAACTGATCTGTGAATGCCAACATTCATTTTCAACATTGGCTATTTCCCATGATTAGTGAGAATGACTGTTATAATTCAACAACAGCATAGAAGCCAGATTGAGCAGGTGACAAGGTAGAAACAAACTAACAACAGATGGAGATAGAGCACTTTCATGGGTGCAGAATTCAGAACAAACAAGAAACTGATGGAACAACTTTAGGAGGACAGAAAGTGAAAAGAAAGAAATGAGCTGATTTGCACACAGGATAAAAGAAAGGGAGACTTTTTTTTTTCCTAGGTATCCACAGAAGGGAAGAGAAAAAGCCTGAATTCCTTTTCAGCATGTGCAAAAGAAAATAAAGATTGTGCCAAGCTGTCTGTGTTCACAAGGTGGCTGGATACAGGAAAAGAGAGAAAATGTATAAGTAAATTAACCCAAGAAAGGTCAAGGAAAGGGTCAGCTAAAGGCAGAGTCAATACTGCTGCTGCTGACAGGTAGAGAGAGAGAGAAACTGCATAGAGCACCAGGATTAGTCCTAGAAGCTAGCAGTTCTCTTGCTCTTAATTTTGCACATCCAAAACACATATGCATTTCTTTATCTCTTATCTGATTCAACTTCAGTGAGATCTGCTGGGCTCTTTATATGACAGTTCCCCCTTTCCATATGGGAAGGAGGCATAGTTTTCCCTCTTAGTATGAGATCATCAGCCTCAGTTTCCTTTCCCCAGCTATATGCATGAGCTTGTGTGTGTATGTGTATGTGATTGTCTGCATTTCTGTTTTCCTCTTCAAATCAAAAGATCTTGCTTCTAATTTTTATGAATCTTGGAATCGATTCTACAAAACAAGGGAGGGAATTTCATATATGCTTGATATGAAAATTGATGCATTCCAGGTAAATTCTTGGAGAACTGGATAACCTGGAGGCTACATATTGAAGATTATTTGTGTGTGTGTGTATGTGCTTTCAAGTTGCCTGTCGGCTTATAGAGACTCCATGAATTCCATAGGGCTTTCTTATGCAAGGAATGATCATAGGAGAAATATAGCCTACAGCACCTGGTAATAAAATGGCAAATTGTCTATTTATGCTTTTTCATCCTCTCTTAGGGGGGTTGCAGACTGCCAAAAATAGTGTGAATTCAGTCCACTTTTAGGGTTAGGGTTAAGGTTAGGGAATCATGGGAACTGAATTTTATTGTGGCACTAGAGCTCTCTGACAAAGAAGGTTCAATGTCTCAGAAAAATAACAATTCCCATGATTCCCTAGCACTAACCCTAACCCTAAAAGTGGACTCAATTCGCACTATTTTTGAC